CAAACAACACAACAACACCTAATTAATTGCTGCCGCAAAAAATACGCATGCCGTGGGTTGTTTTAAAAATTTAATTAAGGCCGGTATTATTAAAAATGTTGACGTTTGTAAATTGCCTATTTTGTTTCATTTATTCCTCTTCAGAAATGCTGAACAATTTTATACATAGATGACGATAAGACTAAAAAAAGTCGTTTAAAAAACCAAATACACAGATCCGACAACAAGCACATAGAACAATTCGTGAGGTCCACTGGCTCTTTCCGTGGCTTAGTTGGCATAGCGTCTAGCACGGTTTGCTAGGAGGCATCGGTCCGAATCCGGCCGGATCGAATGAATTTTTTCTAACTGTTCGATCTTTATATTAATAATTTTAAGAAAGTAGTGGAATAATTTCACAAAACAAATTTGAATATCATAGTGGTGAAACATTGTGACATTCAACAAAGATTTAATTTTGTACATTATGCAATAAAAATATTGTGAAATAATTTGTAAAATAAACTGTTTAAACTAATGGTTGTATTTCTATGACGTCTACGTACATAAACGATGATAAATAAATCGTTCGAAGTTATATAAAGTAAGGCGAGAAAATTGCAAAAGAACCTCGTTCAATCAAGATATTTCGAAACTCTTCACCGTGTATTCTACGAAATTCACTACTGTCTTGGTAAAGTTGTGTTCACAAAGTAAAGTTCTACTTGAGTAGATAAATTTCCTCCAAGCTTAACTTTGGTATTTCTACTACAGCCCGTCAACTTGTTATGATGAATTAATTAGAACATAAAAATAATCTGGAACTTTGCAATAATTGTCAATACCTTATAACATATTTTGACGACATAGCATATAAGATTTGGGTAACTTAGTTTATATTATTACTAAATATATATATTATTTTCTTATATTATTAATTTTATACTATAAATTATTAATCTTAGTTTATAAAGTTTGACGTAAAATCTACACTTTTTTATAATATCAAGTGACGACACGAACAAGTCGTGCGCCTGATGGTTAAGCTACACGCTTGTCCATAACAGTTGCAGTGCCACAGAGCTTTAAATCGCAAAGATCAGGGGGGCACTGCCACTGCGCCTGTCACTTTGAGACATAAGATGACAAGTCTCATGTGCCTGTAATTTCACCAGCACCCTTACCATTCAAAACCGAAATACAGTAATGCTGACATTACTGCTTGGCGGCAGAAATAGGTAAGGTGGCAGTACTTCCCCGGACGAACTCTTTCATATGGAGCTCTACTACACATAGATAAATGTAGATAAATGTAAATTGCGACAGCAGCACTCTCGGCTTGTATAAGTTACTATATATATATATTTTATCCGATACGCTGTGTGTTAAAGCTTAAAAACTCCACCTATGAGGTAAAAACAAACGCAAATATTGAGTTACTAAACCTTAATAGTTACAATGTATGGAAATGTGTGTTGATCTGGATTTCATAAGCCACAGCGCATATTCTAGAGTAAACAAGATATTATGCATATTGTTAACTTAAAGACTAGCTTTGCGCCAGACTAAGTGAACAAAATTTGCGCATAATAATATCACGCTGTCGGTGTAATCTGTAATATGACTAACATTTCAGAGAGAGATTTAAAAAGTCTAGGGAATGCAATTAATCCATTACTGTTTTATGCTTTATTTGAGATTTTTTGTGAAAAAACTAGTGGAGTTTTATTATGATTATTAATACAAAGATCAAACACGTAGAAAAATTTCTTCTACCCGGTGGGACTTGAACTCACGACCATGCTGCACCGTAGCATTGCTCTTACCAACTGAGCCACAGGTCAAGTTACCGAGTTGTCGAAATTATCCTGTGTGTCTTTGTTATAGATCTTTGTACTAACTTCCGGTATTCGTCGCCGCTAGTGATATCTAGTGAGAGATTTTTTTGAAAACCCTCACCGCAGCCAATACCTTTGTAGGTGTCACAGCTAGCGCAGATGTCGCTTTTCGATGTCAGAACTCTACTAGCTTTGTTATGATTTTAATTATTATACTTATTATTTTTATGACGTTCATAATAAAAGCACTTTTAACGTATGATCACTTGTGGCTTTATTACACCAAGGGTACGATATGTGTGGTGTGCTGAGTAAATATTATAATCCACATTTGTCTACACGGAGTTGCTTTAAGCCGATCAGAAAAAGAAGGTTTAAGGTGTGATCAAATCAAACGAATAAGTTTGTAAGCAAGAGACGACCAGTATCGTATTTTTTGTAAATCGTATTTTTGTAGATCGATATGTGCCGATCGTCAAAAAATCGTTCAAATCTCTGGGCATCTTTATGTCTGTGCAATAAGAACCGACAAGAAACACACTTCTTTTTCGCACGAAAAGTCTACATTAAATAGTGTAATGACTCCGTATACAAAGTTCCGAGCGTCAGCTAGAGACACTCTCAGAATCCTCGCACATACTTGTTTTTTTTTGTTTGCATGCCCAGCTCTACAAATTAATCTACACTTTACTTACTTGCTCCGGCGTGGCCGACTACATTTAATGCTAACAATTTATTGCTTAATGCCAAGAAGACAAAATGTGTTAAATTTTAGTTACCTAACGTAAAATCGACTAGTCCAAGCATAGAAATAAACGGAGAAAAGTTAGACCTTGTTAATAAAGCTGGAGTTAGGAGTGACCATAGATAGTAAACTTCAATGATTTCCAGATATATCTTCTTGGCCAGCAGATAAAGCTCCGCTGCATGCGCAGTCCGCAGAATATGTAAGCTTACCGATGTTAGTACTGCTAGACTAGTTTAGTTTTGTTACTTCCATAGTATAAATTCCTAGGGGATTCTCATGTGGGGTAAAGCGGCAGATATTCAAACCATATTTGTATTGCAAAAACGAGCGATTCGTTCTGTGTACCGTTTAAGCTCTCGGGTTTCTCTCAGAGAAAAGTTTAAGGAGAGTGGTATCATGACTGTGCCATCACAGCACATTTACTGAAATATTTTATATGCCCGTAAAAATATAAATAATTTCAATAAGAAAGAAGATATCCATAATATTAACCTTAGAGCTAAGTCCAAACTCATGGTACCACGATTTCGTTTAACCAAGGTAAACGACTCTTTTGTGGGGAACTGTATACGTTTTTACAATAAGATTCCGGAGCAGACATTAAGATTATCATTTCCTAAGTTTAAAAACTACATTAAAAATATTTTGATTGAAAAGTCATATTACAAAATTTAAGACTACGTGTCAGATAAAGATGTATGGAAAGACGACATTGCTCCAGAATCCACACAAATTTGATTCAAAGTGTATTCCATAGCATTTAAGCTTATTTGAAAAGAGCAATCCCTAGAGTTTCTTGCTCGTTCTTCTCAGGGAAGTCAGTGTAGTGAACGCTCAATAGCTTGAATGTGACGTTTTCAATTGTAAATTTATTTCGCTTGGAAAATGATTGACTTTGACGTTGACAGGGCGACAATCCTCGGAGCGCCGAGGTCGCGCTCGAAGTCTTCAGCAGATCCAAGACGATGCCGATATTCCTGGAGCAGCTAGGGTGGCACGAGTAGGACCCTGCACCTACCACACGCAAAATAGGCGTCTAGTCATCGAGTTGCGGATACCCAACCATATACACCATACCATACCAGACTAATATATCCCTTACTACGCTATACAACTATTCCTTGTGTTAAAACTCTCCATATATAAATTATATTTTTGTTTTATATTACAGTCTTGGAACTTGGATTGCGTCTGTGAAGACATACATTTAGTAAATTCTTGGTATGTATTGGTTTTTGTGGTACTCGTCACTTATTGCGATAATCTTTGTTTTTGTAGAAGATATTTTTATGTTACCAAGTGACAGGACGAACAAGTCGTACACCTGGTGGTAAGTGACACCCCTGTCCATAACAGTCGCGGTGCCACCCAGAGCTTTAAATCACAAAGATCTATTACTGGTTGGCGCCAAAAATAGGTAAGATGATACTTTCCTGAACGAACTCTTTCACAATGATCTCTACTGCATAAACTAGATAGGTAAGCGTTATTAAAAAAATTTCTTTATCTAACCCGTTTCACATGCCACATTTTGTGTAGGTACTCATTGTAAGTCAATGAGGTACTCAGTCATTTATCCTAAACAACATTTATCTACACAAGCATTGGTACACTTTGTTGCGAGTTGTTTTTTGTATACAAACATTTGATTTAAGGATTGGTACTAAAGTTTTATACCAAAGGCTCACCTCAATGTTTCGGGTAAACAAGGTTGAGATTTTATTGAATTGGCAATAACATAACTTTGAATAGACTGCGGTCAAAGGAAGCTGAGAGAATTTGGAGAAGTTAAATAATGGAGTATTTTTTGTAGTGAAAGTACCTACCCTCTACACAAACTTACACAACCCTTGTCGGAAAGAGAGTGCTTGTGATAGATTTAGCTCATTATATCACGAAATTGTGTTTATTCTGAGAGGATATCAAATACCAGGCTCCCAAAAATAACAATAGGGTTCGGATAGTGACACAGTCGTTATAACATTTAAGATTCCTATACCAACTAAAAACTCTTATGCTGACATTTATAAAAGTTTGATTGGGAATAAACAGAAATGGCGAGCTAAGCAAATTTTTCGTATTTAAAACGAACTTCGCCTAAGTTTAAGCAAGAAATTAAATTAAACATTGAGTTTACTTTGTAATTTCTTGCCTAAACTTACATTAAGATTGTTTTGTAATTACGAAAAACTTGCTTAGCTAGCCATTTTTGCTTATTAGAAGTCAAAGTTTGTTTTATAAATCTCAGATGATACCTATACCCTATACAATAGATCATGAATATGACAAGTCTGTCATTTACAAAAAAATCAACGTAATTCAAGTGAGTCCTAAAAATAGACTTTTTTCTTTTTAAAGGTATCAAAGAACCGGTACGAATTATGCTATTGAGGACGACAATGTTTCATGTTATAACATTTAGCTTTTATATTTCAGAACCTGTAACAACTACATACGACACAAACTTGCTTGACTGATTGTGAAAGCTAATCAAACTAATAATGGATTCTTGATGGTAAAGACGATGATGAAGTATCTTCACGTGTTTGTGTTTGTAAACATTTTGACGACAATATATCTTTCAGAATACAAATGGGGTGCACGGAAAGAGCCTCCCCGTGATGTACAAATGTTTTTAGTACGCCTTGCGCACCCTGGGCAACAATCAGCAAGTACCTTACGTCGATTGGCAAATGCTTTCATCACGATGATGGCAAACATATACCATGTAAAGGTTAGCATAGCAGCGACTTGTGCCGTGATAAGCGCAGCTAAGCTCTAGATTACGATAATATGATGTGTGCCATCGATACGATAGCAAAAAGAAGAATACAAATGGAAAATGTATTTGCAGGTCGATGTTTAGAAGATATAGATAATTGTGTAATTACTACATTTTTTTTGGACACTGCCAGTTTTGATAGCCATTCCAAGTAAACGGAAAACTCAAAATATCTAATAAATCAAATTAATTTTATGGTGACAATGAACGACTGAAGCTTAATGACTCTCAATTTCGTATGTGCTAGTGGATCTGCGATCTAATATTCAAATTAAAGAGGGTGCTCAAATACTAATTAAATTTGTTAAATTACACACGTACGTTTGCCATTTAATTATAAAAGAAAATATTACGTTGAATATCAAAGGTTGACTTCCACTGAAAAATAAAACAAAACAATCAATGTTTTTGTTACAGCCATTTTGAACAATGACTTCGACTGCACTTCTCTATACAGTAATTTTTATGATCGCAGTCAACTGATTCACATAAATTTTAAAATTCCATTGACCTAAGTGAATTTGTATATTATACGTCAACCGATTGTCAATTTTTTAAAATTAAATAATAAGTGCGCATTTCCCAAGTTATAACGTTCAGGAAATAAGTATGCAGGCAAGGAAATAATATTAATACTATATAATAATACTTCCCTTTACTAAAAAAACCTATTTATTATGCTAGCAATAATGGTTTGCCTACCGCCTCTCAAGCAGAGGCAATGGATTGCTCTCCGAAACTCGCACCTTTGAGTTTCTCGGACTTTATGTGCGAAACAACGTAGAAGTTAATCATAAGTTTGTTTAGTACGATGAAGCTTCGTTATATGCGCCATTGTGCAGCTAATTTACCTGTCTGGCGATGGGAATATGAATACATTTCCTAAACATTCATAAACGACTGTGCCCGTACATAAATAAGTAAGTACGTATTTTTATACCGCTGTAGGTTTGTTACCTCATCTCTATGGAAAGCTTATGAACTTTGAACATTTCAGTTTAATGGTGTCTTTCGAGTTCAAACATTAAGCAGTGGCAAAGTGCAAAACTTTGAAGATGAGAGCAAACTGCCTTCGTATTGTGCACAAAAAGCTATAAAATCACCCAAACAGAGCTTAATCTTGTAAATATCGGGAAGCAAACGAATCGTATCTAAATATATTATGTAAAACAATACCGCAAACGGAATAATAAACACCAGTCGACTCGTGGTTCGCTCATCATTGAGTAGCTAGTCATTTACATTATAACGGGCTCTTACTCAAGCCCCATAATGAAAATAGGTACAGTAGGCCGTGGGTTCGAATCCGGGCTCGCACCTACGAGATTTTCGGCTGTATGTCCGAAATTTAATTAGAATTTTATAATGAAAAACCTGAAGAAGGATCACAAGCCTCGGAAAACGTGTGATGTCTTCAACCAGCATTGGGCCAGCGCGGCGGCGGGCTTGAAACCCTCGCCTGAGGGTTTCAAGGAGGGAGGGTTTGAGGGAGGGAGGTGAGAGAGGACCCGAGCCCCGCAGTGGGACATACAAATGACTATGATGATGAATACTTCCCATGATTTTGTAAACATAAAAATTTTAGCCATCGGCCATAGTAAAGAAATAATTTTCTATATTCGCAGCGCAGTCATCGAAATTGCTGCCAATGTTTAACAGATAAGTAACAATTCGTAATGACTTTTTGCTTTTGAAATAGTAACTGGCTTAAAAAAAACTATGCCACCGCACGTTCTTGTACCTTGTACAATACCTGTAATAATCTAAGGCTATTTCATATCTATTTCCTATTTTATTAGTATTAGTAAATAAAATAAGAATCCTGCTGGATCGAAGGAATTTTTTTTAGTGTTCGATCTTTGTATTAATAATATTATAACAAACTAACGGAGTAATTTCACAAAGAGTAATTGAAAATCAATTCAATAAAAATTTCAATCAATCAATCAATTTATTTATTTGTCAGAATAATGTACATTAGGGCCTTATTTTAAATGATTTCATTACAGTTAATAGGCACATCTCAAGCCAGGGCTTGTAGCTTTAAAGATATCTAACTGGGTCACGAAATACTTTCATGGATTTCTCATAGATGGCGCTACGGCTAAAAAGTCGTTGAAAAACTAAATACAAAGATCCGACAAGAAGCACATAGAAAAATTCGTGAGGTCCGCCGGTTCGTTCCGTGGCTTAGTTGGCATAGCGTCTGGCACGGTTTGCTAGGAGACGTCGATTCGAATTCGGCCGAATGAATTTTTTCTAAGTGTTCGATCCTTAAAATAGGGTTAGAATTAATTTAATTTAAGTTAGTTTAATTTATTCAGATTTTTGTAATTTGCTGTGCCCCTTCAGGGTCCATAATGACCTTAATTTATGTTACCTACCACCTTGTATATAACATTATAGCAATAAAGTATTGAGTAAACGTTTTTTTTTTATAATTTTCGACCAACGAATTGAGGGATAAATATTTCATTTTGATCGACCTGCCACAATCACAACGGAGACACGCTCTGCACAGGAATAACATATTATTTTAATGGCAGTAGGGCTACGGCGACAAGGACAACACGGACTCAATCGTCATAAATCACGACCTCAGCACGAAAATTCACAAGGAGTAAGGCCATCACAAACAAGAAGCAATAACAAACCCTCGTAGCAAAATTCAATTACGTGAGAATTTTTCAATAAAGTAACCCTGTTAAGGGTCTTTATAAATTTATATTAGGCGGATAAATTAAGTACCTGCCAGTGGCAAGGCGTGAAAAATGTCGTTAGTAAAGCCGGAGCAAAACAAAAAACACCTACTTTAACAAAAACTATTTTTCCCGTTAAAAAGGCGTACTGGTGACACTTAAGGCCGGTTTGCCTCGCGCTATGATTATTAAGGCCAAATTGCCACATGATTATCATTTGATTATAAATTTTTTTAAGTTGTGGGGTATGTGCTTGCCTAAAATTTCCGGTGCCGGTGGGAGTCGAATTATATGGACGCCTTGCCACTGGTACCTGCAAAATTGTCACCGGGACCGTGGAAGTTAGCGCTCCAGTTTCTTATTCGGACAATTTAATGGGCTAAAATGTTCACAGGTGTGTATGAAATGACACTGCTCTACATACAAATATTCACAATACGTGTTCAGCGTGAACGAATACGTGAAATGTATATTTAAGGAGTACATTAAATAAAAAAAAGTGTTATTAGCGATTTAAGCACAGTGGACAGCAGCAAAAGGCGCGAGTAAAAATTCGCTTTTACTTGGCGAATGTACTTCTTATAAACTTGAATTTTTCCCTTTGCAATAAACGTCGTTGTAAATAATTTATAGATTCAGGAGTTACTTTGCGGAATTCCATGTTAATAAAAATGATAGTAAATTAATTTGCTACTTTTTAAAAATAATATTAAGTGACGGGACGAACAAGTCGTGCGCCTGATGGTAAGTTACACGTCTATCCATAACAGATGCAGTACCACTCAGAGCTTTAAATCGCAAAGATCTGAGAGGCAGTAGCACTGCGCCCGTCATCCTGAGACATAAGTTGACAAGTCCCATGTGATTAAAGCAGCCTTTCCCTTCAAAATCGGAACACAGTAATGCTGATATTACTGCTTGGCGGCAGAAACAGGTAAGGTGGCAGTACTACCCTAGAGGAACTCTTTCACAAGGCGCTCTACTGCTACTTCGCGAACCCAGGGAACGTTATATCGTGCAAATAACAGCGCTTGTATTGATTTTTTTAATGCAAATGAAATGCATAAAAAAAAATCAATACAAGCGCAGTTATTTTGCATGATTTAACCTTCACTGGGTTCGCGGAATAGCAAAGTAATTTACTTTCATTTTTATTGTCTTTGTAAATATATAAAAATTACAAAGGCGTCTTTTATCAGTGTACTTTATCCAGTACGTGCCTAATCAAATATAAAACAATACATTAAAACTATATTTATTATTAATACAACAAACTGTGTTATACAAGCCAAAAACTCATGCACGAATCCACACACGAACTGGACAACTAGTTACCGCCTCATTCAAAACTCTACCTAAGGAGGTAACAAAACATATATCGCGCCTTTAAATTGGCGGGAGAAATTGCTGAAGTTCTGCTTTCGGGAACTAAACTTCCAAACTAATTGGGCTTTTGTCAAAAAGATAACACAACGGCTTTGACAAAGCTACATTACTATCTGCTCTTAAAACGGAACGCTAATCAAATATTAATGCATTAAAATCAAACCACACAACTACATTATCATAAAAACTGTGGAGTTATAAACGAATCCGGTACTTATAATTTACAAATATAGGTAGGTACAGTTATGGTTTAGCGTAGATAGAAACGTAGTAGCTAAGTTCTAGGCTAACATTTTACCGTGGCAATGAGCGAGGGTGGCTCTTATCGGCTGCCTCCAGCCGGCAACCGGCAGTACGTCAAGAGGTAGTTTGGTAAAAAATTGGCGACTCTATACACACCACTGGTCCGCTATATCTCTCACACTCAGTTTACCACGCGTTATTAATTTACACGCTATAAAATAAAACAAATAACCGAAGGTTTTACGTTGCTTAGGATGTTTAGGATGTTTGGATAAATGTATGAAGGAAAAATGTATACGTTTTTACAATAAGATTCCGGAACATACATACATTAAAATTATCATTTCCTAAGTTTAAAAACTACATTAAAAATATTTTAAATGAGAAGTCATATTACAAAATTGAAGATTACGTGTTAGATAAAGATGTATGGGAAGACGACATGGCTCTAGATTCCACACAAATTGGATTCAAAGTGTATTTCATAGCATTTAAGTTTATTTGAAACGAGCAAGCTCTAGAGTTTCTTGCTCGTTCTTCTCAAGAAAGCCAGGGTAGTGAACGAGCAGTAGGTAGCTTAAATGTGACGTTTTCAAGTGTAAATTTATTTAACCTGTGGTATAAATGGTTCTTTGGCTTGAACTTTGACTGAATAACTCAAAATACAAAAATAAGTTTGCCAGTTCCCGTAATTCTGTATAGAGACTAAAGTAAAACTTACGTATTGCTTCATTCGGACTTGATTTAATCGTCCGGGATAATGTATATATACACACTAATAAAAATATCTAATACAGGTACTCCCATT